CTCATTACTCTGCTGGTGGGGAGAAAAACTTACTCATTACTCTGCTGGTGGGAGAAAACTTACTCATTACTCTGCTGGTGGGGAGAAAACTTACTCATTACTCTGCTGGTGGGGAGAAAACTTACTCATTACTCTGCTGGTGGGGAGAAAACTTACTCATTACTCTGCAGGTGGGGAGAAAACTTACTCATTACTCTGCTGGTTGGGAGAAAACTTACTCATTACTCTGCTAGTGGGGAGAAAACTTACTCATTACTCTGCTGGTGGGGAGAAAACTTATTCATTACTCTGCTGGTGGGAAAGAAAAAATTACTCATTACTCTGCTGGTGGGGAGAAAACTTACTCATTACTCTGCTGGTGAGGAGAAAACTTACTCATTACTCTGCTGGTGGGGAGGAAACTTACTCATTACTCTGCTGGTGGGGAGAAAACTTACTCATTACTCTGCTGTGGGGAGAAAACTTACTCATTACTCTGCTGGTGGGGAGAAAACTTACTCATTACTCTGCTGGTGGGGAGAAAACTTACTCATTACTCTGCTGGTGGGGAGAAAACTTACTCATTACTCTGCTGGTGGGGAGAAAACTTACTCATTACTCTGCTGGTGGGGAGAAAAACTTACTCATTACTCTGCTGGTGGGGAGAAAACTTACTCATTACTCTGCTGGTGGGGAGAAAACTTACTCATTACTCTGCTGGTGGGGAGAAAACTTACTCATTACTCTGCTGCTGGGGAGAAAACTTACTCATTACTCTGCTAGTGGGGAGATAACACACTACTCTGAAGAACTGAGACACTTATGCAACACGTGGGAATCTTTATTGAAAAAACGTTTCGCCACACAGTGGCTTCTTCAGTCCAATACAAAGAAGAAATGGGTAAGGAGAGGAGGAGTTTGAGGTAATCAGTCCCTCAACCTGGATTCGATGTGTTCAGTCCATCACTTTTGTAGGAAGTACAGCATATTGCTAGAAAGGTGACTTATATACTGCAGTCTGATGAAGTCACTGTGTGGCGAAACGTTTCTTCAATAAAGATTCCCATGTGTTGCTTAAGTGTCTCAGTTCTTCAACTCGTCGGTTTTCAAAACCATTCATCACAACACACTACTCTGCTGATGGGGAGATAACTGATTCACTACCCTGCTGGAGGGACGATAACTCACTACTCTGCTGATGGGGAGATAATATACTACTCAGCTGGTGGGGAAATAACACACTATAGTGGTGGGGAGATAACTCTATCAGTTCACAATTTACACTCATCAATAATATACCGATAAACGAATTCCTCTAAAATAAGAAAATTATAGAACACCAGGAAATTATAGATCATTAATCAGCTTCTGATAGTTATCTTAATACTCTTGATAGAAATCATTATCCAGTGACACATGTATGTGTGATACATATATGCGTGATACATGTATGTGTGATACATGAATGTGTGATAATGTATGCATGATACATGATACGTGCACGTGTGATACATGTATGTGTGATACATATGTGATACATGCATGCATGATGCATGTGTGATGCATGTATGTTTGATACATGTATGATACATGCATGTGTGATACATGTGTGATACATGCATGTGTGTTACATGTATGTGTGATACATGCATGTACGATACTTGCAAGTGTGATACTTGCATGTGTGATACTTGCATGTGTGACATATGGATGTGTGATACATGCATTTGTGATACTTGCATGTGTGATTCATGCATGTGGTACATGTGTCATACATGCATGTGTGATACATGTGTGATACATGCTTGTGTGATACATGAAGACACACACACACGTGTGTGTGTGTGTGTGTGTGTGAACGACATGATGGAAGGGATAGACTCAGAAGTGTCCCTGTTTGCAGATGATGTGAAGTTAATAAGGAGAATTAAATCAGAGGAGGACCAGGCAGGACTTCAAAGAGACCTGGACAGACTGGACACGTGGTCCAGCAATTGGCTTCTCGAATTTAACCCTGCCAAATGCAAAGTCATGAAGATCGGGGAAGGGCACAGAAGACCGCAGACAGAGTATAGGCTAGGTGGCCAAAAACTGCAAACCTCGCTCAAGGAGAAAGATCTTGGGGTGAGTATAACACGGAGCATGTCTCCAGAAGCACACATCAACCAGATAACTGCTGCAGCATATGGGCGCCTGGCAAACCTTAGCAAGGAATCGTTCAAGACACCGTGTACGTCAGGCCCATACTGGAGCATGCAGCACCTGTTTGGAACCCGCACTTGATCAAGCACGTCAAGAAATTAGAGAAAGTGCAAAGGTTTGCGACAAGGTTAGTTCCAGAGCCAAGGGGAATGTCCTATGAAGAAAGGTTAAGGGAAATTGGCCTGACGACACTGGAGGACAGGAGGGTCAGGGGAGACATGATAACGACATATAAAATACTGCACGGAATAGACAAGATGGACAAAGATAGGATGTTCCAGGGAGGGGACACAGAAACAAGAGGTCACAATTGGAAGTTGAAGACTCAGATGAGTCAAAGGGATGTTAAGAAGTATTTCTTCAGTCATAGAGTTGCTAGGCCGTGGAATAGCCTAGAAAGTGACGTAATGGAGGTGTTTAACACGATTAATTGGTAGAGCTGAAAGCGGGGTGTGGATGATATATCTTCTTCGGAGGTTTCTTTGTTTATTTGCAAAGTCGTGGTGGGTACACAGGCTTGTGTGTTGTGCCAATGGCCCGGGAGGGGCCATGCCCACGAGGGAGAGAGAGGAGGACACTTCTTGACTGAGCGAAGGGTGTCGCCAGAGTGAGGCAGAAGCAAGTCTGGGCATACTGAAGTGGCAAGACCTATAGGTGGCAGCACCAGCATGGCGCGAAATATGAACTAAGCTGGCAGACAGCATACAGGCTACATACAGTACAGGCTGTCTACATACGCTCGGCTACCTACCACATGGTCGACCCGACCATGTCTGGCGGTAAAACAAACTCGGTCTCTCTCTCATAGGCACAGGGCACAGAACACAAAATAAAAAACATATATATACATATGGACATGGAAAAAAACTTCCTACAGGGAGGGAAGAAAAAACACATGTGGGGTGTGCTAAACATCGTGGTCAAAGGCAGCGAGCGTCGATGGGCATCACTACATGCCTTCCTGCGTTTGGACAGATACTGCAACACAGGAGACATCGCTGCGGCTGAGCTGTGATGTAACGGGGTACGGTCTCCTCTAGAATGGTGAAGCAGTCATCGTAGGAGTCACTGCAGGTTTTCACTCAACCTGTGGCACGACATGCTGGTGCCCTCGAGTGAGGCGTCGTCAAAACCCGGCAACTGGGCAGGACTTCTGGCAAGCGACTCAGGAGGACACTTCTCGACTGGTACTGTCACTGGGCTGTCACTGCCGGCGAGCGTGGAGCGAGTTGTGAAGCGAGTTGTGGCAGAGACGACTGGGCGGAACATCTGGGAGTCGTAACATCATACACCAGACTGCAGTGAGAGAGCTAGCAGTCAAAGTGACATCTTCTTTGTGCAGGCTGCTCACTGAAGCTTGTGACACGAGGCTGACACAGCGCCTGCCGACAGGGCTAACTGCGGCTTGACGAGTGTCATTCTCTCGGCAGTTGGAGTTATAGCAGAGGTTAGTCTAAGCATCCCCAAACTTGTTTCTCTACATATAACTGCATTCTGAAGGTCTGGAGGTGAAGTGAAACAAATCTCGATGGGAATCTTAGCAGGTACGATTCTGCAGAACATCTATGAGGGGGCTCGGGCTCAGAGCTGACTGATATCTGGTCACGCCGGGTGACTAACACAGTGGTGCTACTCAGGTCTGGTTCAGACCTCACTGGACACATGGAAACTACACACACCCGCGGTACATGTGGTACACTAACATGTGAGAACACTGACTGAGAGGAATTAATTAACACACGACATATATCTTCTCTCAATCTTCTCGACAATACTGAAATAATTACTAGAAACACTCGATGTGACATCATGTGATGTCGCGAGGTGACGTCAGCAGCACTGTGACGTCAGCAAACATCTCGAGGTGACGTCAGGCAGACATCGTGATGCCATGAAGTCGGGCAGCATCGTCGGTGACATCAATGTGATGGGGGCAGGAGATCACAGCATGAGGCCTGGGACATCTGGCTCGGTAACTCACAAGGCTTGTAGATCCACGTGACATCGCCCACACCCCACGTGGCGTCGGGATCCACGTGGTGTCGTGATCTATGTGGCGTGCTGATCTACGTGGCATGCTGATCCACGTAGCTTCGAGTGGCCTCGGGCACTCGGATACACAGCTCTGGCAATGAATTCACACGAAAAATAGCAGAAAAACACAGTAGAAGGAGTGAGTACAGAGTGGTGGAGTATGGTAGTGTGGTGGCGAGGAGCGTGGGTGAGTGTATGGCGAGGGAGGCATCTGGCCACTTCCTCTTCTCCCACCCACAAACACAGGGAGAAACTCACACTGGACGCAGAAATCACCACAAAACTCACCTCTGGCTTGCTGAAACAGCTGTGCTGTGCTGAACAACAACAGCAACATACAAGTGACACTGAACACGTGACTTGAGAAACAGCGTGGGACGCTGTAGAGTGGGGTCGAAGAAATTCGGTAAATTTCGGCTGGATCCTGCTTGTACCTGTGTCTGGATGCTCAAACGTGCAGACACGACATCAGGATAACTCGTTGAGAGACGGATGCTTCTTGCATGGGATGATGAAGTGAAGATGACTTCATTCCTTCCTTCCTCTCTCTGGGCAAACACAACTGCTGCGACCACCGCTTCCCACCATTTATAACGAGATTGTTTGGTGTTCTGGTAGCGGAGTGTATGAATGATACACGTCTTCGGAGGCTTCTTACTTTATTGTTAAGTCGTGGTGGGTACACAGGCTTGTGTGTTGTGCCCATGGCCCGGGAGGGGCAATGCCCACGAGGGAGAGAGAGGTGGACACTTCTTGACTGAGTGAAGGGTGTTGCCAGAGTGAGGCAACTCTGGGCATACTGAAGTGGCAAGACCTATAGGTGGCAGCACCAGTATGGCGTGAAATATGAACTAAGCTGGCAAACATCATGGGCTGTCTGTGCAGACAGTACAGGCTGTCTACAGAGGCAGGAACCATACATAGTTTTAAGACGAGGTTTGATAAAGCTCATGGAGCAGGGAGAGAGAGGACCCAGTAGCAACCAGTGAAGAGGCGGGGCCAGGAGCTAGGACTCGACCCCTGCAACCACAAATAGGTGAGTACACACACACACACACACACACACACACACACACACACACACACACACCACACACACACACACACACACAAGTATGATAAAGGTATGATAAAGCTCACGGTTCAGAGAGAGTGACCTAGTAGCGACCAGTGAAGAGGGGGGGCCAGGAGCTTGGACTCGACCCTTGCAACATCAACTAGGTGAGTACAACTAGGTGAGTACACACACACACACATCTTGCATGGGACACATGCTTAACTAGCTCTTAAAGAACAAGTTAAAATCTAGATGTTTACAGCCTGCCCTTATCAGCACTTCTAACACCATAGAGCAGCACCAGGGAAGATTCATGTTAGCTTAGCTAACACCTTACTTAACTAAATCAGTGTATATACACTGAAAGTCCACTTTAATCCTTATATTAGGGAGTCGAGTGTCTTAATTGGTACATAACTGGTTACAGCAGGCTTAATGACCCTCGCGTAGTCGTAGGTATTAACCCCAATTAACTAACTGACCAACCTTTAATTTAATTGCTAATTAACTGCAGGAAAGTGAGACTTCCAGAGTATTGCTGTGATGGAGAGTGCTGGTGGAGCTTAGAGATCAGTGGTACAGTGATGGAGAGTGCTGGTGGAGCTCAGAGATAGGTGTTGCAGTGATGGAGAGTGCTGGTGGAGCTCTGAGATCAGTGTTGCAGTGATGGAGAGTGTTGGTGGACTTTTGTGCTGAGTTCCAACCTGTGGGCTTGTCTCTGGCTGGAGATAAGATTAAGGCTTCTGTTGATAAGATTATCTCTCCTTGCCTGTCTCACACCTATCCCTCAGCTAGCTCTATATTATGTATTAGTATTTAATCCTAATGTGCGGCCAAGAACTATAGCACCTGGTTATTATTATCATGGGAAGCTCTATACCCATTATATATATATATATATATATATATATATATATATATATATATATATATATATATATATATATATATATATATATATATATATATATATATATATATATATATATATATATATATGTCGTGCCGAATATGTAAAACTGGTCAATTAGCAATAACTCATTTAAAATTAAGCCCTTTGTAAAATTTTCTCTTATACGTTTAAAGATATATTTTTTCATTAATGTTGATGTAAAAAATTATAATTTTGCACCAAAAGGAACTTAGAAAACTTACCTAACCTTATTATAACAAACGCAATTTATTTTAGCCTAACCCAACTAAATATATTTTAGATTTGTTTACAATAATTTAATACTAAACAAACACAGTGAAATATATTTTTTTTCGTTAGGTTCAGAACGATTTTGGCGAAATTATTGCATACACAAATTTTCACTTGTACTATATGGCAAGATGAGCGTTGCTATTTAAGCCAAGATCGCAAGTTCTGCCTATTCGGCACGGTATATATATATATATATATATATATATATATATAATATATATATATATATATATATAATATATATATATATATATATATATAGAGGTAGTACCTCCCTATAATATAGGGAGGTACTACCTCCAGAACTTTACTGGGGACCCTCATCCTCAGAGAAGACAATAAACGTACTTCAGGGAAAACTCAAGGTTCTCCCCGGAGCTGTTTGAATATTTTCTTCTCCGAACACCCCCTATAATTTATATTATACTCTCCGAACACCCCCTATAATTTATATTATACATGTACTTTATTAATAGACAGAATATATTGATAAAAACACAAACATGAATACATTGGTACAATATATCAAAGGTTATGAATCTCCCCCAGCTCCTCCGAAGCTGGACGCGAGCCCAGTATGCAGCATGCATTTCCCCTCTGGATGGCTACGCTGAGGCGCTGAAACATGAAAGTTGCTGCCCTTGGGTCCCTGGTGGTGTCGATGAGTCTGGAACGCAGTTCTTTAAGGAAACGTGTGGCATTTTTTCCCCATGATCCCAAGGTCTCTGATTCCAATGGGACAAATTGATACTGTTGGCTTATGTCCCTGTACTTGGCGATCTTGTACTCCTCCCTGTGGTCAGTAGCTCCTCCCTGTCGCCCGACACTGTGATGGATATAGGTGTCAGCCAATGTGGACACACAGGTATAGTCCCATGCTCTTAGCATGGGAACATACCATTCTTCCTAGGATAGATGGTGATCCCGTTGGGGCGGTTTGCTGGGTTGTGGGTATTGTTGGCTGCTAGTGATCGGGGCTCCCTCTCGGCTGGGTATCCACCTGTAGCAAGGGTTCTCTTTATAAGAACATAAGAAAGAAGGAACACTGCAACATGCCTACTGACCCATGCAGAGCAGGTCCATGTCCCCCCCGGATAAGACCAATGACCCACCCAGTCTGGTCACCTAAACTCAAGGATTGAGCACTGCAACAGACCCAGCAGCACAAGCTAGTCATGTCCAACTCACACCCACTCACGCCCACTCATGTATTTATCTAACCTATTTTTAAAACTACACAACGTTTTAGTCTGAATAACTGTACTCTGGAGTTTGTTCCACTCATCCACAACTCAATTACCAAACCAGTGCTTTCCTATATCCTTCCTGAATCTGAATTTTTCCAACTTGAAACCATTGTTGCGAGTCCTGTCTTGGCTGGAAATTTTCAGCACGCTATTTACATCCCCTTTATTTATTCCTGTTTTCCATTTATACACCTCGATCATATCCCCCCTAATTCTATGCCTTTCGAAAGAGTGCAGATTCAGGGCCTTCAGTCTACCCTCATAGGGAAGATTTCTGATACATGGGATCATCTTTGTCATCCTCCTCTGTACGTTTTCCAGAGCATTTATATCCATTCTGTAATACGGTGACCAGAACTGAGCAGCATAGTTTAAATGAGGCCTAACCAAGGATATATAGAGTTGAAGAACAACCTGAGGATTTCTATTATTTATACTTCTAGATATGAAGCCAAGAATTCTGTTAGCTTTATTCCGAACACTAATGCACTGTTGTCTTGGTTTTAGGTTACTGCTAACCAGAACTCCTAAATCCTTTTCGCAATCAGTAGTATTAAGATCTACATTATTTAGTTTATATGCTGCATGGTTATTTAACTGTCCAACATTTAGAACTTTGCATTTGTCAATATTAAACTGCATCTGCCACTTCTCCGACCATTGCATCAGTCTATTCAAATCATCCTGGAGTGCTTTAGTGTCCTCATTAGAATGAATTGGACGGCCTATTTTGGTGTCATCAGCAAATTTGCTTATGTCGCTATTTATTCCCTCATCTATGTCGTTTATGTAAATTGTGAACAACAACGGGCCCAACACTGACCCCTGAGGAACACCGCATGTGACGTGCCCTCATTCTGATTTCTCCCCATTTATGCAAACTCTCTGCTGTCTATTTGTCAGCCATGCCTCTACCCAGGAAAAAATTTCTCCTCCTATTCCGTGTGCATTAAGTTTCCTCAATAGCCTCTGGTGTGGAACTCTATCGAAAGCCTTACTAAAATCCATATACACAATATCATATTTATTACCATGATCTACCTCCTCAAACACCTTAGTGAAAAAAGTTAGTAAATTCGTAAGACAGGATCGCCCCTTTGTAAAACAGTGTTGATATTTATTAATCAATCTGTGCCTATCAAGATGGCTACGAATTGCTTCGGCAATTATTGATTCCATAAATTTTCCCATTATGGAGGTAAGGCTTATTGGTCTATAGTTTGAAGCCAAGGACCTGTCATCTGCTTTGTAAATAGGAATTACATTTGCCATTTTCCACTTATCAGGCACTATGCCAGTTTGTAGTGATATGTTAAAAAGATTAGCCAAAGGTATGCTAAGTTCCTCTTTACATTCTTTTAACACCCTTGCAAACAGTTCATCAGGGCCTGGGGATTTGTTAGATTTTAGTTTCTCTATTTGTCTGAGGACCATGTCACTAGTTACCGCAATCGTACATAGTTTATTATCATCCTGTTCTTCATAATCTATTATTTCAGGAATATCGCTATTATTTTCCTGGGTGAAAACTGAGAGGAAGTAGGTATTTAGAATTTCACACATATCCTTATCACTGTCAGTGATCTGACCAGAGTTACTCTTAAGTGGGCCAATCTTGTCCCTAATCTTACTTCTGTATACCTGAAAGAACCCTTTTAGGTTAGTCTTTGAATTCCTAGCGACCTTAGCCTCATAATCCCTTTTTGCTTTTCTTATTCCTTTCTTTGTTTCTCTCTTTAATTGAATATATTGATTCCTTAACTGCCCATCTCCTCTTTTGATACGCTTATACATGCCTCTCTTTTGACCAATGAGATGTTTTAATCTATCGTTCATCCATTTGGGATCATTTTTGTTAGATCTTATTTCCCTACTCGGAACGAAAGTTGTCTGCAGCTAGAACTGTGCTCTGAAAAACGTCATATTGGCAACCAAGATCACTTGCCTGACCCATAGTCAGGACATCTCAATATACCCCACCCAGGTAATTTTTCAGTCCCATGAAGTCGGCCAAGCGAAAATCTGGGACAGAGATTTGATTGCAGTTATCTGAGTAATTCCATGATATATTGAAAATAAGTGATTTGTGATCACTTTTCCCAAGCTCATCATTAACCTCAAGATTATTAATTAGTGAATCTTTGTTGGCAAGAACCAAGTCAAGCAGATTGTTTCCTCTTGTTGGTTCTGTCACAACCTGTTCTAAAAAGCAATCCTGAACCGTATCAAGAGTGTCACTGGACTCAAGATTTCCTGTCATATTGTTCCAATCAA